ATCAACTGATCAGTTGTTGATCATGTCAACTGATCAGTTGTTGATCATGTCAACTGATCAGTTACAGGTATTGATCATGTGTCAATTATCATTCAGGTTATCCTAGCTAGCTTGTTTGAAGTCATCTACACCAAGTTTCAGGGTGGTTCATTCGGTCTCAGTGTCCTGCGAGCCCTTCGCCTTCTTAGAATATTCAAAGTAACAAGGTTAGTCATTTTCATTCTTAACCTTTTGATGTCAATTTATATATGTCTCATGTTGCATTGTACCAATACTTCCATTATAACTGGAATTTTACAAGATTACTAAATTTTATCAATATCATTCTTGACTACCACATAGCTTGAATTAAATAAATTTGTGTTTCGAATTCCAAGAGAGGGTCCCTGTCATGAATTACATCATTCTTGAATACCATACAGTTTGAATTGAAATAAACTTGTGTTGCTAATTTCAAGAAAGGGTCCCTGTCATGAATTACATCATGCCAAACCATTTGTGATTTCAATTTCTTGCAATGGTGCTGTCTGGAAATGTGAATTTTGACATTTAGAATTTTACCTAGTGATTGTCAATTTGCCCTTATTGTGATTTCAATTTCTTGCAATGGTGCTGTCTGGAAATGTGAATTTTGACATTTAGAATTTTACCTAGTGATTGTCAATTTGCATGATATTGTGGCACTTTATAGTAAACAAACACAGAACGATGAAATGTCCACATCTCATGATGTCTTTTGAAGTTTAAAACTTGGAGGTTTTGGAAATTCAGTTTCCTGTGAAAACATTGAAGCCTGTTGCTTTTTTCCTTGCTTTGTTTATAACTGAAATGAATTAACCTACAGTTTGTCATTCTGTTCCAGTTTTCTGCACATCTGAACAGTTTCTTCCTTCCATGGTTATGTCACAGAGACTCTCAACTTGGGAAAAGAAATGAGATTCACAGAGCAGAATCACAAATTGCTGACACAAAATAACAAATGACACAGACTCAAAACACCTGTTACCTCAGCCAATGTACCAAGGCCTATCCACTGAATCCTGTGCTATTTAGAATAGTGACTGGCTTGATTTGCTGAAATTGGTGAATGGTGTACCCCTTCCCTGGGTTGAACCTCTTCAATCCAACCCACCTGTCCCCCTCCCACAAGCATCTTATCAGCAGAGGGTGTCATTGGATCAGTCACCATCAAGCATTGCTTACAAAACTGACCTGCTACACTAATACCTTTCACCCAGTATGAATCCAAGCCCTTGATGTTCATTAGGGTACCACTGGGTACCACCATACCTGTACCCATCCCCTGATATGTACCCCTCCCCTAACCTAGTACTTGCACCAGAAAACCCTTTCCATGCAAGTGCATAATGGCACCATTGGGTACCACACTTAGACACCCTGTGCACCCATCCCTAAGAGGTTCCCTCTCCCAACCTAGACCTTATGGCTGTAAATGGACACCAGGTGTTGTTAGGTTCCACCTTTTGCCCCTCCCTTAGATGTGTCCCTCCACCCAGATAATCCTGCTGCAGTGAAGGTCCTTCTGAGATTCCCGCTACCAGCTATGTCCGTTAATTTGGAGTATGATCCATTAACCAGCCACTCCTAACCGCTTCTTCCTACTTGCAAGTCCTTAACCTAATCAAAGTCCAAGTGACAGTTTAGAGTACACCTGCTACCCTACCCTATCCCCTCCCCCCCGGGGCTGATTTCATGGAGGTTCTTTTAGAGGCATGCAAGATTTACCAAGCTGAAAAAAACTTGTGATTAACCATAAAAAGTTGTCAGCAAGCATGCTACATGTATGTACTTGGACAACGTATGTTGATTCTAAAATAGCTCATTTTTTGGATAAGCAATATTCTCTGCTTCAGTGCTCCATGGAACCAAGTCAGAGACCAATTCCATGGAGCATCCAAGCACCAAAAATTGTAGAGTAGATTTTGGCTCTGAATAAAACAGTGTATAGAACCAGTATCTCACCTTACATGGAAATTTAGCTGGTAACCATACCACTGTGCAAATAGCAAGTTTCCGTGCCAAACAACTGGGTGAAATTGGCCCCAGGTAGCTTTGAGATGGAGGTTAATCCGCTTGCCCTCCTACCAGACCCCCGGTTTTATTTTTGTGTGTGTGTTATATCTATGTCCCGCTGCTTCCTCCTCCCCAGATACTGGTCTCCAATGCGCTATCTGATCATCTCCTTGGTGCATAGTATTCGATCCATAGTCAGTCTGGTGTTCTTGCTGTTCTTATTCATCATCATATTTGCCTTGCTCGGCATGCAACTCTTTGGCGGCTCGTAAGTACATGTATACGAGGGCACTATTCGGCAGGGCGCGTGATCTGATGTAGCAAACTAAATTTAATACGGTTCGGCTGTCCCTGTCTCCTAACTTCATGCCTGGGAAATAGTGTTTGATCACAGTGCAGTCATCTCCTTTTTTCTGTTCAAACTTTGAAAAATAATCTGATACTGGTATGCAAATTAGTGCCATGATCATTTCACGTAGATCTATGTTTGTCCTATGGACGAAAGACTACGATAGCTGCAATGCGATCAAATACTACCATAAACCCAGTGTATATTTTTCTTCTTTGTAAAGTACTGGTAGAAGCGTACATAGGTAGGTACTTTTAAGACCAGTTTTAGTATCAGGTTTGTAAGGGGGCCTATTGAAAAAAACATGAACATACCTGCTCATTTCACATCACATTTCCATTCATGATTTTGTTCTGTCCTCTCGTTTTCAAGCTATTCACCGCTTAAAGAAACTTTGCTGGCTGTGAAATGCTGCCATTAATTCCTTGTTGCTTCTGCATTTGTCTTCCAATTTTCCTCAATTCACAGCTTGTCCATCCAACACTTCAACAGGCTGCACCACCTGAATATGATATCCACAAATCAATCAATTTGTTCACATTGATTCTTCATTTAGCTTGTTTTGGTTCATCTACAGCAAGATTTCTTGTACACTGCTTGCATGTTCACACTCACACACACAAACACAAGCAAGAAAACAATGTTGTGTTCATTTTCTTGAAGATGTTTGTCCAGGAGGACACAGAGTTCCTCGCCAGATGATACAAGGAAGTGTCTCAAGGAGGTCTTTACTTCCTGCACGGTTTGAGCATGAGCTTCTACGGCAACCAGCACATCCACATGGCTGGGATTATAGCAACTGCATCAACTGTGTTGCCGTGGCAACAAGCCATGATGCACAATGCATTAATGTTTTTTTTTTTCTTTTTTTTTCTCCCACCCTTGCTGACCTTTCTTCACCCTCTTTATACCCATGTCGTACTCTGTCTTCCTTTTATATCTGCCTTTTTGTCTGTCTTCATTTTCCACACTTATCCAAAATCCCCCCCCCTCCATGCTGTGTATCCCTTACCCCACCCATCTTCCATTTCGGCTTCACCCATCTTCCTCGTCCCCTCTCCCTGAATCCATCATTCTATTGTCATCTTGGTCGGCCATCTCCAACTCTTCTCCATCACCTCAACCTACCCACCCGTGTCCACTCCCTCCTCTTCCTCCCCCCCCTTCCCTTCCCTTTCCCCTTCACCCATCTAGATATTGGTCCTCATTAAGAAACCTGGTCGTATCCCTCCTTAGTAGTATGCGCTCCATTGTCAGTCTGCTCTTCCTTCTCTTCTTGTTCATCCTCATCTTCGCTCTCCTCGGAATGCAGCTATTCGGTGGAAGGTAATTTGGCCCAGAATGCACTGGATTTGCCATACACATTTGATGACATTGTTTTTTTTTTTTCTCTCTGTCTTTTAAATCACCTGTTAATTAGCGGTTCTATTGCCATTGCAAACCATTGGAGGGTGATTTAGCATGTGCAGTTTTAAGTTGCCTCCATTACTGCATGGTTGGATTCAATTTCTTTCATTCCAATGAAAGAAATTTGCTGACTAGATCTTGATTGACTGCATTTTGGGCTACATTTCAAAAAGTTTCTTAAATTAGTGCCATGCTCCATCCAAAAGGTATTTCTTTAACTTCTAGACAATGTATATATGTAATGCTACAATTCAAAGTTTTACATATGATTACAACTATTCAAAACCAAAAAAAAGAATTGGACCTGTTAATGAAAGAACCAAACCCTGGAAGTAACATCCATATGTAGTGGCTTCCCATATTGTAGCAAACACCTACGCAGTCCACCGTTAAATTTGTTTACCGAGTTCCCTACAGTAGCATTAAACATCAAACATGTATGTTCCTGAGGGTTTAACAAGGCGAGGATTTGGCTTGTCGTGATACTTGCAAAATGTCACTCCTCTAAAAACCTGGTGAATAATTCAATACACCTGTTTAAATTAAATGGCACTGCACTCTAACATTGCAGTGTTCTCTTTTTTCTGACTGGACAGTGAAAGGAGGGCATTGTTGAAGGATTGCTCATCCCTAGCATACAAAATTTGGCACTATTTGAATTCGGGAAATTCTTGACAATGCTACATGTTGAATTTTTTTTACATCATCTTGTGCCCAAATGGATGTTCACATGATAAATTGACCAATTTCTTTTAAAAGTTTCTAGTTTTTAGTAAAAATATTAGTATAATGAATGACAGTTGAGGAGTGAATAATATTTAAATAGAAATTTTGCAAAAACCTGACCAAATATGCCATTGAGGTTTTAATATCTATCAGTGATAACATTTGTAGTGTGGCATTCGTATGGATCTCAGAATTAAATCCAAATTGTTCCCTGACATGTTGATGTTTTAATCAGTGACAGATTTAACCTAATGTAATATCCCATGCTTAGAGTCTGACAATCAGGATTGCCAAAATTGTTCAAATATGTGCTGCCAAAGAAAATTCAATTAGACAGCTCAAAAAACACCTGCGGGGAAGAAGTAGTGATTTGGAGGGAGTTGTGCTAGGCTGCAGGAATGCTGACCAGTGGACTGTTATTGGCATGATTTATTAACCTTGATGGTGGGGCTGGTATTTATTAATATCCTGAGGCTGTAGGTCTGACTTGAACACCCAGTAATAACCAACTAGTATGTTAATGCCATATGGGGTTTGCTAGGTCAGCTGAGAACAGTGAGTAATTTTTTATATGGAGTAAAATGGGATTTATTACTTGTAGGAAACAGTTCTTAAAATGAGATGAAAAAATCATTGCAGGATTGAAAAGCTTGAAGATGAGGTGATTTCAAGTAGAAAGGATTACAACCCTCTTAATGTCAAAGTTTAGATTCCCCAAAAGGAGAGATTCATTTTGATTTACATCTGAACATTCCAAGAGTAGTTTCATTTTGTAGGGGAATAGCCTTGTTACTTATCAATTGTTCTAATATGCTGTTTGGGGATGGCAGGAAGACTTCATGTTTCTCAATCAATATATCCAGAATAAGAATACAATTTGGATACCAAAAATTGGACATCAGGAATGAACAAATAGTAAATCAAGACCTTATATATCAGGGCCTCCCATGAAAACTGCAAAGACTGAAACTAAAAGATGTAAAATCCCAAAATAACTAGAACTAAATAAATTCATTTTAAGAGTTTACAAAACGTTATGTATGCAAATGGGCATCACTTGTAAATAAATTTCAAACTCTTTTCCCTATTCAATAAAATTTATGAGGTGATTGAAGGAATTCTAAAAGTTTATCTTTGCTTTTGAGAAATTCTTGGAAATCCTACCAGCCATTTGCAGTGGCGAGTTTGTTGTGCGTATTCTTTCAGTCCTGTGAACACCCTTACATATGCTGTGAAGTTGTCTGTTTCCACAAACTGGAATGTCAGTGCAGTAGTTTAATTCGAATTTCACAGAAGCACTGTGTTTGAATGGCAAAGCAAACAAATGCTCCTCTTTTTCACCCTTTTGTCATTTGACATGTTTGCCTTTTATGCGCATGATCAAAATCACTCACACTGTAGACTTTGTTCTTATTTTCATCAGACATTTATCACCCAAATCGTGTGACATTCAAATTTTCCAATTCCATACTAACTATTAACCCCAAGGTCTTGATGATAAATCAAATGAAATTTAAGTTGTAGTTCCAAATATAGTCTTATTTGAATTTTATTTTGACTTAACTGCCTTGGTTTTAATTTTAGAGTAGTGGGTCGGAAATTTAGGAAGTAGTCATTCATTTCTTTTTTTCTGTTTGTGTGTCTAGTTGATTTTGTTTCATCTGGAAATATCTTCCTTTTGAAATAAGATTGTAGCATGTTATGTACTAATTGCATCATTGGAAAGTAAGGATGTATCATCTGGCTCCATGGACAGGTCTTTGGCCCCATCAAGGAGGGCCAGTGAACTGTTCCTGTTTCATCCATCCGTTTACATTTGGAAATGACTTCACACCAACAAAGGGAAACTTGGATACCATGTCTGTATTCCATGTCTAGGACATGGGCTAGGTCTTTACTGGCTTACAAATACATCAGTAAAAGCTGGTAACAGACGTAGCCCTAGCTCTATAAACCTGTTTTGAACATGGCTCAGCAAAAATGCAAATGGTGTAGACTGTCACCAGTCCCCCAGATACACCATTCTTTGTAAAGAAGGAGATGGGAACTATCTCTGGAAGTGAGAGAATCAATACTTGCTTGCCTATATTGAATTGTTCCTTGCCAGGAAAGTATCGTACAGTGGCAGCAAAGTTAAGTATTTTAACCAAGGAGGAGGATGTTACTTGTACATGGAGCCTGTGATATAAAGCCCCTGTTGATGATTAGTTGTGACCAACTGGTTTACTCATATTAACGGAAATCTTTTTCTCTAACATAGCTGTAACAAAACCCTCTTTGTAAATGCCTGGAAATTTTCAATTTTATTACTTTCCAAATGTAGGCCTGTTTTTTTACATTGTTACTGATGTATAATTTATTGCTCCATTCAAGCAAAGTCCAGTATCTCAGCCAGTAATTTGTATTAGAAACAGTTACGTAACTCCAAATTTTAAGTCGCTCTTTTCTGCATTGCTATAATGTGCATTCTAATATAAATTGCTTGACCATCACCATTTTTGATTAAAGTTTACTTTGGTCAATAGCACTAATAAGAAAAACCATAATTACTGGACTATATTTATGTAACTTTCTCACGATTTTTTTCCAGCTTTAATTATGACTCAGAAAGCCCCAAACCTGCCAACAACTTTGATATCTTCCCAATTGCACTCATGACAGTGTTTCAGGTGAGCAGGATTAACCAAACAGAATCTGGTTCGTAAGTGACTTTGTCATACATGTGGAAGCGCCATGATTGGCAGGCTCTCAAGAGGGAATGCTAAAGCTGTGTCTTAACTTTTGGTTCTGTGTAAACGGCAATCAATGCATGTACCTCTAAGTGCAGTGCATATGCCGTTGCCGTGGTTTAAACTGAAGTGACATCACACTTACGAACCGGATGGCACTAGAATGTTGCCATTGTGAAGAAGTTCGAATACTGTCTCAGCTCCTTATAATCAACTTATTGGAAAGCGTATAGCTAGTCTGAGGTTCACATTCAGTGACTATTCCTGTTTTTGTATGTTTATTGTAGAGCACTTACATTGGAATCTATTAGTTATAGGTTCACATTTCACATTAACCATTGTCTGTAATGTATTGAATAGCCATCCATGATTCACAGTTCTAAAAATTTTTTGTAATACTTTTCCCTGTTTGGCACTTAAAAGACTACCATTGTTTGGTCTGAATTCCTCAGGAAAGTTACTCTCTTGGCTGTGCTTGTGGTGAAGCGCTTGACTAGCAATTCATGGGTCCAGTGTGCTACACCCACTTGTGTCTGTTCTTGTATTTGGCAGATCCTGACTGGGGAGGATTGGAACATGGTGATGTACTATGGAGTAGTCTCAAAGGGAGGCGTGCCTGAAGGCATGGTCTACAGTCTGTACTTTGTCATTCTGGTGCTATTTGGCAACTGTATCCTTGATTTCTAAGTGGCTCAAGTTTGTGGGGAGGAGGGGAGGGGTTGACCCTCCCTACCATTTTTTGGGGGGGGTGGGGGTTGTATTTTTCATCAAAGTATTCATGTTTGCAGTCTTCTGTTATTGTTGTTTATTTCTGGTAACGACACCAACGATTCCCAGAAGCACCCTAGGCACTGTATCTTGCAATCCTGAAGAAAACTCAAACTTTTGCGGAGTTACTGTGTCTTTGTGCAGTGTTCAAAGAGATGTTCATTACAAGCAGAGACATAGCAACGTTGATCCTCACCATCGTCTTGTCCTTAGCCTTGTGACTCCAGACACCTTACTGAATGTCTTCCTTGCTATCGCTGTGGATAACTTGGCCAACGCCCAGGAGATGACAAAGCTTGATCAAGAGGATGAAGAAGAAGCTCAGGCAGCAAGAGAAGC